GACCCCATCGAGCACACTTCTAGGATCGACTATATCTTTGCGAATGATAGCGCCAATGCTATGGTCATCGACTTTCACATCGTTCGTGAATTCAAATGCCCTGGACATCTTGGCCTTGAAGTTACCCTCAACGTGGACGCATTTGCTGCGCGGGTTCGACGGTGGGAACGCCCGAAGCTCTTCGACGTCGACCACATCAGTATGCCACATGACGAACGTGAAGCTCTTGGTGCCTACTTGGTCGACCAACATGCCAGGCAGCTTGCGCTGGCGCAAGGCAACGCAGAGGATTCGTTCGCTTTTGCCAACCAGATGGCGGAGGATTTCTTGGAGATATGTTGTGACACTCATGTCAAGAAGGGAACGAGAGGGCGTGGCAAGCCCCCTCGTTTCGTGCAAGGGTGGGCTGCCCCACCTATCTCCCCACAGCATGGGGCTATGTCTCGCATAGAGTGGCAATGCACCAAGCTCCACCGTCGACTACTTGAACTAAGCTACCGCGCTGAACGTTGCGAAGCTCGTGGGTATACGTCCTACATCGATATCCAGCTCTACCACCAGCTCTCGGCCAACTGCTGCAAGCAAGTTCAACTTCTACAACCTGTATGTGCATCCCGGCCTGGATGGTGGACGCCTTTCTGCTGGCCTTCAACAGACCAAGCCCGTCATGCTGCTGCCCAGGTACTTGCTGAACAACAGCGGTATGCCGCAGAAGCCCAACGACAGCGACTGCAACAATGGCGAACACGAGTTTCAGCATCTTGTCAACATGGAGGGCGAGAGGTGTGTGCCTGGGTAAAAGCGCAGACTCAGCGACCCACTACCTTCCTCAAAAAAACCTGATACCCAGGACATCATTTCCAACCCGTTCGACATCATCAAGTTGATGCAGCTAATTTGGGAGCCGATTCTTTGCAAATACCGTGGGACTTCAGAGGTTCCCACTTGGGGGGGTTTCCGTGCTGAATGCGAAGCTGAGCTGCCCCCCGTGAGCCCTTGTCCTGAGCCCTCGCTTAGTGATGCTGATGTCAGTGCTTTTCTCCAGGCACGCTCCTCTCGCAAGGCGGGGGGTCTTGGCGGATGGGCGACGGTGGAGGCCAAAGCTCTGCCCACAGCCATACAAGCTGTCTTTGCCGAGGCTCTTCGATCGATGCAGAATTCGGGTCAGGTCCCCTCGGCTTTCAAAACATGTTCCGAACCCCGCCTTGAGGAAGGGAGAGGGGGTTTTCCCCGAAGAGCAAAGGCTTCTTTCTGTTCTGTCTGTGTGGCTGTATGCTTGGGAAGTTCCGATCTACCGAAAGTTCGATCCTTGGAGGCGCAAGTGGACTCACCCCACGAGTTTTGGGGCCACGTCGGGGGCCCGTCTCTCGGATGTCTCCACCAGCCTTGCCCTTCAGGTCGAGTGGTCCCGTCACCGAGAACTGGGTCCACGGTCTCGCTCTCGACAGGAAGATGCTGATAGCCACTATATGCATCGAGCTACAACGACATGTTGGGTGCCCCGAGAGTGTTCTTCGAGTTCGTGAACAATTTTACGCACAGCATCGGAGGTACCTGCGAATGTCTGGAACTTACAGCGACGCCATGGCTACCACGAATGGCCACCTACAAGGATCGGCCTTCAGCATTGATGAAATTAAGATGCTTATGTATAGTTGGACGGCGAGACAACGCAGAGTAATACCGAGGTCGCTTTCCATAACGTATATCGACGACTCCAACTCTACAGTATGGGACATGGCTGGGATTCGTGAATCGCTCCGCGAATCGCTTCTATTTGATAAACTTTCTGGTCAGGAACTACACCTTGGGAAGCTGGTCGCCTGGACCACCGACGAGGATATGACCGCTGCGCTCGCCAACACCACGGTCTGTGGCCACAACCTGCCCGTGAAGCGCGCCTTCCGTCTCGTGGGCAGCCAGATCGTCACTCGCGGAGGCGATGACACTAGCCTCATGGACCGACACTTCGTTGCTGCGGCTCAACTACTTCAACGTGTCCAACGGCCTCCCCTTCCTCTACACAAGCGTGCCGACATCGCGCAGATGATGGCGGCATCCATGGTTGCGGTGGGATCCGACCTCGGTACACCCTCCAACCGACAGCTGCGAGACTACTACCATGCAATGTTTGCGACCATCATGCCTAAGGGAAGGCAGTGGACCTGTCTGTGGATTTTGCTGGGCGTCGTGCTGAAAGGCCACCTCCTCGACCCCGTCGCGATCAGCCAGAGAGAAGTCACCCTTTCGCTGCGACGTCAGGTTCTGCGGGTACCGAAGCTTCGGGACTACGTGCGTGACATTCGGGACCATATACAGGACGCAGACACTGCATGCCCTGGTCCAGTGCGAACTTTTGTCAAGATGCTCAACCAGCTTAACTGGCGATGGCCAGCTTTCGACATCCTGACGACCGACCTGGGCACCCCCATCTTGTGGCTCGAAGGGCACAGTGATTTTCTCATGCACCATCTCCGAGACTCACAGCGACGGCGGTTTCATCAACGCAAGGTGCCCACTACACGAAATGACCTCGGGGACGTGGCTAAGCACAAGTATGGCATCGACATGGTTTCAAATTCTTGGCTATTGCGAACACGCATTCTCAGGCACCGACTTACTAAGTGGCAGCGCGGCCTGCTGTCTGTATTTCTAGCCGGCGGCGACCACGCACAACAAAGATTGTAGACATCTTCCATTTCAGAAGGCCCCTCTGCGGTGTGCAGGTTCTGTGACAGAGAACAAGAAACGCTAGAGCACATCCTGTGGGAATGTCCGTGCTGGCAAGAAGAACGCGCACCACTACATCATCATCCACAAGTTCATGAACGTGATCAGTGGCCGCGGTCAACACGCCACTGCGGTCTCACTTTCATCGGTGAGGAGACGGTCAAGCTTTACAACGAACTCGCTGCTCTGCCTGAGCCCGCGCAACATCGACCCCCACAGCAGGTGGATGACGATTCTGCTGAGGACATGGTCAACTACATCACCGACGACGAGAACAAGCGGTGGATGGCCATAGCTACGGATGGCGCCTGCCGTTTCCCCCAACATCAGTGGCTCGCTCGAGCGGGATGCGCTGTTTATGTGGCGCCACACCACCGCCTTAACTACTCGTCGAAGCTCTATGGACCACGACAAAGTAGTGCACGTGCGGAAGCCAGAGCCCTACTGCACGTTGTACGTGTGACGGAGGAGCCTGTGTGGATCTACTGCGACAGTCAACAATGTGTTCGAGAATTCAATAACCTACTGAAAGGAGGAGAGCCGCCAGGAGGAAGCTGGCACGACATCTGGGCCCAGATCAAGATCGCGATCGACGCCAAGCCTGAGATGTTCTACATCGAGCACGTGTACTCGCACCAAGGCGAGGACGGTGTAGACCGCGGTGCGCTGCATCCGCTCGCAGAGGAGTTGAATAAAACAAGTTGATGTGCTTGCCGCACATGCCGCCGAGTCACACCCCCTCCCGACCTCTGTAATTCAGAAAGCCAGGGACCGCTTTACACTGACCACTTTAATGCATCGATCGATTGTTCGAATCTTAGAGAAGCGAGCTGTGACGAGACCCCTCCCCATCGGTCGGCGGGGTTCTCGGCTGCCCAACTCGCTCGTCTCGCTCCCCCTGCCTCCGCTCCTCTCCCGCCTCCTCCTCCTCCCCCTCCCCCTCCCGACTGGGAGGAGGCGATGGGGGTCGAGGTCGAGCTCGATGAAGGGGCCGACTTTGACCCTTTTGGATTTGGCTTCGAGCTTGGTTAGCCTCTCGTTCCATCCAGCTTGGCAACTATTTAGATAGTGCCTCGTCCCGTGCCCGAGGCAAGAGGCTCCCGCCTCCGTCTCGGTTCCAGATACCGCGGACTCCGTTTCAGAGTCTAAACGAAGGGGGAGCCCCGTCGTGTTTTTCTCTCTCATGGTTGAGCAGGCCCAGCGAGCCTAGACTAACCGATTCAAAGCGCAGGGCATCACCATCACCATCACCATCACCATCACCATCACCATCACCATCACCATCACCATCACCATCACCATCACCATCACCATCACCACCATCACCATCACCATCACCATCACCATCACCATCACCATCACCATCACCATCACCATCACCATCACCATCACCATCACCATCACCATCACCATCACCATCACCATCACCATCACCATCACCATCACCATCACCATCACCATCACCATCACCATCACCATCACCATCACCATCACCATCACCATCACATCACCATCACCATCACCATCACCATCACCATCACCATCACCATCACCATCACCATCACCATCACCATCACCATCACCATCACCATCACCATCACCATCACCATCACCATCACCATCACCATCACCATCACCATCACCATCGCCATCGCCATCGCCATCGCCATCGCCATCGCCATCGCCATCGCCATCGCCATCGCCATCGACATCGCCATCGCCATCGCCATCACCGTCACCGTCACCGTCACCATCGCCATCGCCATCGCCATCATCACCACCGTCGTCGTCGTCGATGCCGTCGTGGCCATGGTGTCTCGCTTGGCCGAACCATGGATCAGCATATGCAGGGCCCTCGCGTCACTGCGCCTGTTGAGTAGGGCGTTTGTCCGAGCACGGGAGGTCGTCATGCGCGAATGCCCACAGTTATTTTGCATCGCGTGGACTGCACCACACACGTTGCATCCCACTGATGGCACCACACAGATTGCACATCGAGAGTGCAATAGCCCACTGTTCGGGGCCCATGCTGTCCAACATGTTGTGTCGATGTGTATGACTGCCTACTAGAAGCACACATGCACACGTACGCAACAAGCAACGATAAGCTTGCCGCTCCAACAGGCAATCGCAGCCCAGCACACCGCTCTCGAACGCCCGAGGATGCCACTTGTACCGCAACTGCAGCCCGCAGCTCCGCGCGCAGCGCCGCCAACCCCGCCCCTCCCCCCCGCCTGCCCCTGCTCCTGCTGCGATGCCGTGCGCCGCAGGTTCTTGGCCGCCAGCTTCCTGCAGACCGCGGGCCTCTACCTCGGCACCGCCGGCCCCTCAGCCGCCAGCGCTGTCCCGACCCGTGTCGCGTGCTGGGATCCCTCTCCGGTGCCCCCTGTCCGACGTAGGGTCGGGCAGAGCCCTCCAAAGTGGCGCCGTGCGACGGGAGGGCCGCCTGTGACCGGGCCCAGGGCCCCGGTGTGTTCGGTGCCTGCAGCCCCAGGGAGGGGCATCCGCGCGGGGAGCAGGGCGCGGCCCCCAGCGACCGAGGGGGCAGCGGGTCGCTGGTGCACTCCCGGAGCCAGTTGCATGCCGATGCTCCCCGTTCTCCCGCCGCCCCTCCCCGCCCCAGACATCCAGCGTTTCGACAAAACCGGAACGGCGTTTTTTCATCGTTTTCGGCCTCTCGGGGCCCTTGCTTAGCCTCTAGGCCGTCAAATAACGGCTCGGGATGAAACACCTGTCCTGGGGACGTGGTTGAGAGGTCGGGGGCCCGTGACTCGAAAAAATCAAGGCGCCGGATGTCTGGGCTTTGGCATGCTGCACGCTCCGCCCAGCACGGTCGAGGCTTGCTACGTGCGGTGGATGGACGTGCTCTCCGCGCAGCAGGGCCTCTTCCCGCAGGCTGCCGGCTCGCCCCCGCCCTGTGGGTACGCTGGGGGCGTCCGGCTCCCCGGTTTCAACCCTCGCAGGCCTGGGCACTCCAGCTCCAGGCCCAGCTGCGGAGACTCCGCCTAAGGCTGTTGCGTCGCCGCGCAGGCTGCCCATCCGAGACGGGGACTTGTGCATGACCACCGCCTGGAGGATCGATTTTCGGAGACCTCGGCGGGCGGTGGATATGGATATATTTTGGCTCCTGGGGGCCCAAATCTATCCATATCCACCGCCCGCTGGGTCCCCAGGGCGTCGGTTCCCAGGCGGTGGATGTAGATAAGTCCCCGCCTCGCAGTCCAGAGGGCTGATGACAGCTCGTGAGAAGGGGCCTGGCCGTGCGGGACGCGGCCACGGCGTGTCGCGGGTGGGGGCGCAGCACGAGATCGGCCAACGCCGTCCTTGGCTCACGCTGGTTGTGGTGGCTGTGATCGAGGCGTGGCAGTGGCGGCATCCGAGCCCTGTGTAGGCCTTCGCCGGTGAGGGTTCACGTCGCTGCTGCCCGCCCACGCCTTCTGAGCCAGCACCAGCGCCCCGAAGATTCTTGTTGGCCAGGCACCTCGCATGTGTGGCCGGCCACGTCCTCGAGCACGAGCCGCGCTCGCCATGCCCAGGCTGTCGCCCAGCAGAGGCGGGAAGCAGAATTCACCGAGCGCGCGCTCCACTGCTCGCACAAAGTGCCTACTCGCGAGCGTCCGAAGATCACATGCTTGCCTCGATGTAGTGGATTGTAAGGCCCCCGCGGCGGATTCAGGCCATTTGCGAGCAGTTTCTTTGCGAGTAGTGGAACGCGCATGTCTAAGAAGGGGGAGTGCATGCCATACCCAGCCCCCCCTGGCAGACCGCATGTGGAGGGGGAGCGCTAGAGTGACACGTTAGGGAAAGATGACCGGAGAGTTTAAGGGTGCCATTTATGTTTACAAGGCCGTATACGTAAGACTTTTGAGTCTGGCTTGGCCACAGTAGGGCTTTAGCCGCCGTCGGCGCTTGCAACAGATACGGCGCAACTCGTGCTGATGAATAGGGCCCGACACCCGCCCCATCTTCCTGTGTGAAGTCTCTTGCTGTGTCCACCCGTGATGGTCCTCAGGCCCGACACAATGCGAACATGGTTGTAGTTTTTTCCCAAACCCTCTGTTGTTGGGTTCTCGTTTTAATTAGAGCAATGTGGTCGCGTCCTTCCTTTTTTTTTTTTTTTGTTTTTCCTCTCTCTCTCTCTCTCCTCTTGTCTCGTACCTCTCTCGTACCCGACTCCGAGCTCGCCATCCCTGGGGGGCTGCGATTTGCGAAGCGGTCGCCACTTTCGAGGGCTGCTGGGGAGGCCAGCACAGTGTCGCCTTACCCAGATTCAGATTAGACCTCGCCATCCCTGGGGGGTTGCGATCTGCGAGCCAGTCGCACTTTCGAGGGCTGCTTGGGGGGCCAGCACAGTGTCGCCATACCCAGATTCAGATTGGACCTCGCCATCCCTGCGGGGCTGCGATCTGCGAACCGGTCGCACTTTCGAGGGCTGCTTGGGGAGCTAGCACAGTGTCGCCATACCCAGATTCAGATTAGGCCTCGTCATCCCTCGGGGGCTGCGATCTGCGAAACTGTCGAAACAGCCCAAGAAGACCCCAGAAGCCCACAAGAGGACCCAAGAGGCCCCCAAGAAGCCCCCAACAGGCCCCAAGACAACCCCGCGCGGCGCAAGGAGCCCCCACGGTAGCCCGATAGGGTCACCAGGACCCTCTCCTGATTCAATGTCCTTCTCCAAATGCCTCTTACTGTCCTTCGTTGTCGTCGTTGTCGTCGTCGCCGTCGTCGTCGTCGTCGTCGTCGATGTCATCGTCCTCCGCATTTCTCGTACTCGCCCTCGTTCTCTTCGTCCTCGTCCTTGTGCCCAGTAGGCCAATCAAAGCGGCGCTTCCTGTTCTTGCCCGATCAGTTTTTGAATGGAGGAGGAGGAGGAGGAGGAGGAGGGAGGAGGAGGGAGGGAGGAGGAGGAGGAGGAGGAGAGGAGGAGGAGGAGGAGGAGGAGGAGGAGGAGGAGGAGGAGGAGGAGGAGGAGGAGGAGGAGGAGGAGGAGGAGAGGAGGAGGAGGAGGAGGAGGAGGAGGAGAGAAGGAGGAGGAGGAGGAGGACCGGTGTAGACCCAAGAGCCATCAACGATATTGGAATACATCCTCCCTCCAAGCTCCCCCTTCATAGGCCGTTTGAAGACCTTGAAACATGCCAAAACATTGTTCTCGGGATTCCAACGCCACGGATCAACCTGACTGTTGCGTCTTGACGATCTTGGACCGTGCCAGAACGCCATTATCGGGATTCCAACACTGCGAATCAACGTAACTCTTGCACCCGCAAGATCCAGAGTCCTTCCAAACACCATTTCTGGTATGTTGATCATGGGAATCCGTGAAACGCTTGCAACTTTTGTATACGAATGTGCGCGGCGCTAGGGCGAGAGTCACATTCTGAAAAGGAACCGCTCTCAGTCTGTGGAACTCGGGCAACTTTTTGAAACGAATGTGCGCGGCGCTAAGGCGCGAGCCACATTTCGAAAACGGGTTGTCCTCGATCCGTGAAGCTTTTGCAAACTTTTAAAACGAAGCTGCGCGGCGCTAAGGCGAGAGCCACGTTTTGAAAACGAGTCGCCCTCAATCCCTGGAACTCTGGCAAATTTTTAGAACGAATGTGCGCGGCGCTAAGGCCACATTCTGAAAACGACACGCCCTCCATCTGTGAAACTGTTGTCATTTTTAAAGCGTCAGGGTCATCAGTTGTGAGGAAGTCTCAGGCGAAACGCCCTGCCCACCCTAAACACTGGCTTCGGGATGCGACAGGGATAATACATTTATAAGGGAAAGGAATGGAGGAAGAGGAGAAGGAGGAGGAGGAGGAGGAGGAGGAGGAGGAGGATGTGGATGAGGAGCATGAGGAGGAGGAGGAGGCGGAGGAGGAGGAGGAGAGGAGGAGGAGGAGGAGGCGGAAGGAGGAGGAGAGGAAGGAGAGGAGGGTGGAGGAGCAGGAGAAGGAGCAGAAGGAGGAGGAGGATGAGGAGGGAGGATGAGGAGGAGGAGGAGGAGGAGGAGGAGGAGGAGGAGGAGGAGGAGGAGGAGGAGGAGGAGGAGGAGGAGGAGGCGGAAGAGGAGGTGGAGGAGGACGATGAGGAGGAGGACGATGAGGAGGAGGAGGAGGAGGAGGAGGTGGAGGGGAAGGAGGAGGAGGAGGAGGAGGTGGAGGAGGAGGAGAAGAAGGAGGAGGAGGAGGAGGAGGAGGAGGAGGAGGAGGAGGATGATATGAGGAGGAACGCGCAGGAGAACGAGGGCGAGGACGAGGCCAATGACAACGGCGACGACGATGGCGATGATTTCTTCCCACGGCCGGCTGGCCACCAGGCGGGCGCCGGTGGCCCCGCCGCTGGCGGGCCCCCACCGGCGACCCGGGAAGAGCCGTGGCCCGCGCTGGACGACCCGGTTGTCAGGAGGCCCTGGCGCGGCCCCGTCCCGGGGGGCGGAGCTGGCGGTCTTCGGCGGTCTTCGGCGGCCTTCGGCGGCCTTTCGGGGGCCTCCGGCAGCCTTTCGGCGGGCTTCGGCTGTCTTCGGAGGCCCTGGGAGGCCTTCAACGGCTTTCGGTAGCCTAGGCAACGGCGCGGAGGGCGGCGTCGTCTTCGTGGTCGTCGTGGTCGTCGTGGTCGTCGTCGTCGTCGTCGTCGTCGTCGTCGTCGCCGTCGCCGCCGCCGCCGCCGCCGCCGCCGCCATCGTGGTTGTCGTGTTCGTGGTCGTCGTTGTCGTCGTCGTTGTCGTCGTCGTCGCTGCCACGCCGCCGCCGCCGCCGCCGTCGTGGTTGTCGTGTTCGTGGTCGTCGTCGTCGTTTTCGTCGTCGACCCCTTCTGGAGGGTACATCGGCGTCGACGGCCCTCTCGAGAGACCGTCCATACGATGGGGTCCCCCAGATAATGGCACAGCTTCGTCAGTTGTGGCTGGTCGGGGTCATCGTTGCCGCCGTCGTCGCCGACGTCATTGTCGTTGCCACCGCCGCCGCAGTCGTCGCTGTCGTCGTCACCACTGCCGCCGCAGTTGTCGTCGTCGTCGGCGTCGCCGCCGCCGCCGCCGCCGCCGCCGCTGCCGGCCGGCCGTTATTCCTCCCCGTCTTCCGCTTCATCCCTTCATCCTCCTCTCCGTCCTCCTCCCGTCTTCTTCTTCTTCTTCTTCTTCTTGCTTCGGCGCCTTCTCAGCGACTTGACGGGGGACGATTCCACCGAGGTCACACAGTGCAGAAGCTTCTGGTCGTGCTCAGCTCATCAACCTGTAGCTCACGAACGAGGTTCGCGAGATCATGGGCAGGCTATCGGACACATTCTGAATCGACGCATGTTCTCCCGTGATCAATCGGATCCTTCAGCAAGGCGGGGACTAGCACGAGTGCCAAGACCGTCAAGGACAATCCAGATAAGCAGGCCGCGCTATGGCCTCTATTCGTTGACGTGTTCGATGGTCTACTCCGAGGCATGGGTCAGTACGACGACATCCACCCGAGAGACAGGGCGCTCAACAACTGCTGGCTGGAGAACGCGGCGGGCCCAGAGTGCACAGTGGCAGATCTCCGGGAACACGTAATCTACCGCAAATGTAAGATGACGGAGCAGAAGCAGGGCAGAGTGGAGGTGGCCAAGATATCGTTCGCCATGCATGCCAGCCGCTCGGACATTCAGAAGCTGATGAAGCGCATCCTGGTTGCCCACAGGGCGGTGCTCAAGTTCGGCCCCCCACCCCGTGGGCCACTCGAGCCAGCGAGCGGCTCAGGAAGTTCTCGAGGTGCTTTAGGGCGGGTCCTCGAAGACGCCGAAGCCCAGGGGGAAGCCCAAGGCCAATGCAGTAACGTGAGACGGCTTACACATACTCGGCATATTCGCATCGCAAACTTTAGTCAGAGGCTTTCAGCTTTGGTATGACGCGGGGTCGTTCCGTTGGATGCGGCCTTGAGGCAAGCACTTCCGACCGCCACGGTTCAGATGCCGACGGCGACTCGTGCCTGTGCCAGGCTCCCGCAGGGAGGGGTGAGGATGAACGAGTCAAGTCGGTTGCCGCAGTCAGGTGATCACCCTCCCTCCGACTCTTGAGCTTTTTCAGCCTTGTCCCCGCCCGCCCTCAGGCGTTGTTAGTTTGCTCGAGACCTTCGATCCCACGGGAACGGAGGTGTTTTGTCTGGGGGGGAAGGCATACCACACACTTGTTTCATCTTGGGGGTTTCCCCGAGTCGTGCAAGTTCGACGTGACCTCCCAGCTCAGTCCGCAAAGCGAGGTGCCACATATCGCTCGAGCAGCGTTCATGTCTGCACGGCATACTTGCAACCTTCCCTGGTGTGTGATCATGGCGCCGTAGCAGTCATTTTGTCAAACTAATCTTTCAGATGTTATTCATAGTGTATTTCCCAGACACGGCCGCTGAGGCTTCTCACGAGCGGACGGTCTGATTCAATGCCCCCTGAGCTCGATTCGATTCGGTTCCTCTTCCTTCCTCCTCCTCCTTCTCGATACCCCTCCCCCTCACCACCACCTCCTCGTCGGGAACAGCAGGTTCGGGCTCGTGGCCCTGTTTGGGTGCAGTTTTTCATATGTTTCAACCTTTCACATCCTCTTCTTTCTCCTCCTCCTCCTTTTCCTCCTCCTCACTCCTCTTCTTCCTCCTCCTCCTCCTCTTTCCCCTCCCCCTCCTCCTTCCTGCCTCCTCCTCCTCCGCATTCTTCTCCTCCTCCCCCTCCTGCCTCTTTCGCTCTTCTCCTTTGTCTATCCCTCTCTCCTCTTCGTCGTCCTCCTTTTCCTGCCGTTCGTTTCGGTGCTGTCATTCAAGACTTGGGCCGTCGTCGTCGTCCTCCTCCTCCTCCTCCTCTTGTTCCTCCTCTCTTCTCTCTTCGCCTCTCCTCCTCCAGCTCTCTCCGCACATCACAGAATTGTACTAACGTGTTTCTCTAATGTTTTGTAGCGTTCGATTGTTTCTGGTGTTTTCAATTTGTGTTCCCGCTGCAGCGTGGGCCTCATTTTCGGATCGGCGCTTTGCTCCCGTCGTTCAGAACGACGCTCTCGCCCCAGCGAGGGCCACTTTTCTTTCAGCGAGTCCTTTGTCATCGTTGCCGTCACCCTCATTTCCCCTCCTCCGCCTTCCCCTGGTGCTCCTGCTCCTCCCATTCCTTCCATTGGGACAAGATGGTCCAGCGGGTCTGCGGGCACCAGCGAGCCCCAGGAGAGGTCATGACATCAACGAGTCCAGAGAGCCACGCGCAGAGCGTGGACAGACGCGCACGCCGCCGTGATGAGACAGTGGATCCGGGCACATGCTGCGAGGAAGTGTTCGTGGGCAGGACATGTGATGCGGACAAGCCCATCCAGCTGGGTGTGGCGCGTGACCACGTGGCGAGACGCCGAGTGGTCAGCAGCCTGCAGGCAGTCCAGCTCCGAGCGAATTATGCGGCCCGCCAAGCGGCCGTGGATGAAATGGGAAAACCCTTTGCGCCGTTTCGTCCGGGATCTGGGCATGGGCAGCTGGATGGATCTGACCCGTGACCGGGACGAATGGCTCAGCCTGACCACGCCGTACCGGAGCTGGTTCGCTTGAGGCGGCTTGCGCGGGTTTAGTTCTCGTTTGCGTGCCCATGTTGCACTCTTGCACAGTCCTTCCACGCAAGTTCCTGCTGCTGCTGCTTCTCGTCTTCGTCCTCCTTCCAGATTCTCCTCCTTTCCCTGCTCCGTTTCCTCCTGCTCATTCTCCTGCTCATCCGCCACCTCCCCCTCCTCCTCCTCCTCCTCCTCCTCCTCCTCCTCCTCCTCCTCCAGCCTCTTCTGCTCAGGTCTGCAGAATGCGGGGCACAGGAGGGCCCACATCTGTAACGTACGGCCCCACTCCACATCCATTCATGTTCAGAGGTCTCTGGCCAGCGATGGTCATTTCGGCTCTCGGATACAATCCGCCACATTCGACAGGTGACAGACTCGTGGAGATTTCGCTCGAGCTCGCCAACATCAATGTGCTTGGATTGCAGGTACTCAAAGAAAGGCTGTGTCCGATGTGGATTTCCAGGTGTTCATGATTCAGAACCGTGCGTGTGTTGATGCAGGGTGGCGACGAGGGAGCCTTACCAATCGTTCTGCTGGAGTCGCCGCCCTCCTCCCGCCAGGATGGAAGCAACGTAATATTCGCCAGATTGCCGTGCCACCTCCTGCGCTTCAGGGCCGAGGGGTCTCTATCGAGTGCGGCGAAGGGGGATGGAACCTGTGCGTTATGGACCTCTATTTCCCTCCTCGTCCTTCCTCAGCAGTGGGTCTGAGAGCGTACCTTGCATGCTGTCGTCAGTTAGCGTCGTGGGCACAGGGGAAGCTCAAGAGACTTCCACGCCGCTTTCACCCCATTGTGTTGGCTGACGTTACGGCGGGATGGTTTAGTCAAGAGAGAGGGGACGTGGGTGGAGGTGGAGACGCGGGCGGTGGGAAGGAGACGGACCAAGGAACGACGTCTTGGAGGAGGCGGTCAGAGGTTTCGTGAGCTGCTGGAATAAATCGATCTGTTTTCGTCTACAATGCTTAGAGAGTACCCCCGCGACTTTTTATGGAGGGAATGGCAGCATTTCGGTGTTGGATCACGTGGCCATCCCTCTTCGCTGGTGTGATGCTGTGCAGTGTGCCAGTCCTATTCATGCTACAGGACTTAAGTTGCAGGTGATACCAAGTCGCGAACTTCGAGACCAAATGCCCGTGCTTGTTACGGTGCGGGTTCAGCGATGTGGACGGGGGCAGCAGCAACAACCAATGCAGGCCCCCGACAGCCTTGAAAGGGAAAACGCTAAATGGGATAGGGATATGCTTATGCAGGGAGTCCGTGGCGGGCCCGTTCGGGAATCTTCTTTTGCAGGAGGTTGAAGCTGCTCTTGAACAGATCTGGGATAATATGCTACAACAGCCGCGTTCTATTCCTAGGCCAGGTGTGCTCGTGGAACAAGTAGATTCTGTACTCCGCAGCCTGGGTGCCAAACATGTCTCGCAAGGCTCGCAAAAGACGGGCATCACAGCTACCTTGTGCCAAGATCGACTCGAGTTGCTCACCGTACGTCGCCAGCTTCGCGGGCAGCTCCCAACTCTCAATGATGATGAATGCCAGGCATGTTGCGAGAAGCTTCGGAATGTCACCCGTCGAAGCAAGGCTCTGTATCGCCGTCGTCATCGTGATCGTAATGGAAGAATCGTCGCTGAGATCTGGGACGCCGGGCGGACCCGAGATTTGTCGCTCGTGCACCGACTTTCGCTGCGCCTCGCAGGACAATGTTTTTGTCGTGCCAAGAGAGATCTACGGAAGCTCGATGGCGCCCTGCCAACAGCTGATCAATTGATGGAGTTTTGGGGACAAGAGTGAGGGGCGGGAGGGATGCAGGCACCTCGTGCTACGTGGTCAGACTTCTGTGGGCATCCGGATGCGCTGGCCAACGCTCCAGGGCCGGTGGGTGGCGCTCGAGCGTCCTCGGTTTGCTGTCGTGCTGCGCTCGACCTGGGGTTGATGCAGAACTATTCCTCGAGGGCTCCCAAACGTCGTGGGGTCCCCTCATGGGTGCTTCCTCTGGAGCTGTGGCATATATGCATAGGCTCTCCTACTGCTCATGCTGCTTCTACTGCGCGTGCTGGTCTTGCGACCGACAGTACCAAGACATATGGATACTATTCTAAGCTATTGTTCCACAGGGTCTTCGCTAGCATGCGATACTGGGGCGTGGTACCTAAGCCGTGGTTAATTTGTCAAGGGTTTGCTTTGCCTAAGGCTGCCATTGCTGGACCTCGGGGGAAACGAGTAGCGCGCTGGTTAGATCCGCTTGGTAACGGGTTCTACGCGGGGATCCTCGAGGCTGGGCCCAAGCTTGTGAATTCTGTGTGTGACCATGCCTTTCTCAGACATCGTCGTCGGGGGGGTGCGCTTGCAGCTTGCGTGGTCACGGGCTGGGGGCTCGCGCAGTCAGGTATCCATTGGTGCGATTCCTTGGAAGATTTGTCGAGCGCGTTTGCTTCCCCCAAATGGGAGTCCCAGGATGAAGCATGCAGGATGTTGGCCCAACAGCAGGATCGGAAACTATGTCGGCAGGTATCGCACTTCTGGCTGCATGCTCCCGTCGTCGGACGGCCCAGTTGCGATCGGGCCTGGATGTGGAGCGTCGCAGGGCGACCCGTTCGCGGTGGCCAGCTTCGTTCGAGTATTTAAGGGTCCAGTCGACCGATGGCTTCATCGATGCTGGGAGGGGGGCCAAGGCGAGCAGCTGCTTTGGTCGACATTGCCCGCCGAGCTCGGCATCGGCGCCGAACCTGTGTGCCTTGGCTTGCAGAAGTTCGCTGATGCGGGAAGGAGGAGGTCTTTGTCGTCCTTGGATGTGCTTGCTCGGTGGCGTATTGCTCCTATAGATATTGAACTTCGGTCCGACGACTTCGTTGCTTCCAGGCTTGTTCGTCACCCCGCTGCGCGCGCGCAGTGCCTGGCAGCGCCCTTGGGCATTATTTTGGGATTGGGATCTTCAATGAGGAGGGCGAAGTGCGCGCTCGGGCCAATCCGTGGGCTTTTCGTCTCCAGGATGAACTCCGCGCCCTGATCCAGTGGAGCTCTGACGCTGCTGAATGTTGGGATCGTGCTGGTAGGTCACTCATTCGCCTCTTCGAGTTCGATGTCGCTGAAGATTTCGTTGAGGTCGACGTGGGCATCCTCCGCAGTGCCTTTCAGACCTCCGAGATCCCCCCCAGGCATCCTAGTGGACTTCGAGGCCCTTGAGGCCGAGGCGTTGTGCACTGAGAATCTACATGTGTGTCCGTGGCCGTCGTGTTCGCCCCGATTCACATCTCGTTCTGGACTGCTCGATCATATTCGTCGAACCCATGGCGCGGTGAAGCTGTCGCAAGCACTCGCAAAGCTGTTCCAGTGCTTAGTATGTCGTGAAATATTCTGGGACAAGAAGACGGCGCAGAAACATCTCCATGGGTCGATTCTGCATGGTAGATGCTTACGAGGCAAGCAACTACGCTACGTGCTCTGGCCCCCCCTGATGATCTGTCGTGCCGTGTCTGTGGCTCGAGTTTCTTGACTTTGGACGAGTGCTTCGCCCGCGCGTGCGCGCGCCTCCCAGAGCTCCCTGAGGTTCGGCTTGGACGTGGCCATGGACTTCGAGCTCCCCGCAGACGCTCCTGCGTGGCTCTTCCCACTGCGCAAACGCCGGCGCGCAGAGGGCGAAGACGGCCCTCCTGCCCAGACAGCCCGCGCCAGTGCCGCCGGGGCGAACGGCGGGGGGCGGGGGGGAAAAGGAGGCGGGGGTCGTCGAGGCGAGGGCCGCGCGGACGGCTCGACGATGAAGTGGGTGGTCCGCCAGGCGCTAGCCAACGCGAGGGCCTGCGCCGAGATAGAGTCAAACATCAACGACGCGTTCCTGATCTCAGAACAGTCTTGGCTGGCTCAGGCGGGGATCAGAGGCAACAAGTACTGCGCCGAGTGCGTGAAGCAGCTGGAGGATAAGCGCGCCGACGACGCGACGACGGACCTCGGATCCCTCGGGCCGCCCTGGCTCGCGGTGTTCTGGATGGTGATGGCGGGGGTCAAGAAGCAATCCCAGAACGACCAGTGCATGGATGCGGTCAACAGCTTCTGGGATGCATATATCAAAAACAATCAGCCAGCTGAGATTGCGTTGACGATTCGGCACATCTCGTTCCAGGTGCCGCGGGGAGAGAAGAGTAAGCGCGCGGAGGGAATGGTGGAGTTCAAGCCGAACGTGGCGTTGGGCACGAAAGCGGGGGCGGGCCTCCAGGAGCTGATGTATCGCGCGCTCGCCGAGCTCAGCGCGCAGCGTCTCGTAGGCTCGGCGCCCCGCAGCCAGGCAGAAAGATGCCTCCAGCAGTGGATCCAGAAGCGTTGGGGCCTGGAGACACTGTGATTGTTGACTGGCATGGGGAGGTTATGGACTCTGGGTTCCAGCGCGTCAAGGATGACAGTTCTAATGCGGGTGTATTGCCGAATGTGTCTCCTCCTGGCCAGAGTTCGAATGCCGCATCAACGGGGCCTGCGAGTGCCCGTGCAGCTTCCGATTGGATCGGTGCGCCGCCTGGTCAAGTGCGAGCTGCGCGTGATTCTGAATCCATGGAATTCATCTATGATATGGGCGTCTCTCGAAAAGTGGGATCCGAATTATCACGTCTAGGAGCTGATGACAGGACGGGCCCCCCGACTGAACAGAGTGAGCCCCGGCCTTTCTCTACCCTGTTTCCTTCTTCCCCTTTGAACCCCCTTCGCACTCCTGCCCCTTTGCTGCTCCCCCCCAATTTAGCTTCTAGTGTTGGCCTCGCTTCCCTCGTGGCTCGCGGCCTGATCCGCGATGTGAGAGCTGCTGGGAGAGATGTGTTCGTGGGGAGTGGGGGTGGGACGGCGGTGGGCGGTGGGGAAGGAGAGGATGCTCGGCTCGCTGCGGCGGACGAGGACCGTGCCATTGGGCGCGTCACACCCGATCAGGAGCCAAAGGGAGGACGCCCCCCCCCCGAAGCGAGGGGGGCAAGCATCTCGACGCCGATCGTGAGTCAATTCGTGCTGGTGCCCGCAGGCGCCTCCTGGGCCCCCCCCCCCCGTCGCGGGGCTTGCCTCGGGGCCCGTTGGGGGGCGTTCCATCCTGCAGGGCTCTCAGGGCTAATTTATTTGGATGATGTTCGGCCAGCTGCCCGTCGCAGGGATGAGTGCTTTCTTCCAAGTAACTTGCGATTGCAGGCGATCTGTCGTGGAGCTTGAGCCCGATTCCGATCTCGATCCCGATCTCGATCTCTTGCCCCCAGCGTTCCTGATCCCGATTTCGATCCTCCTCCTCCTCCTCCTCCTCCTCCTCCTCCTCCTCTTCCTCCTCCTCTTCCTCTTCTTATGTACGCAGTTCCTCTTTCCCGACTGCGCATAACGCTGTGATTCCTCTTTTTGGGTTCCAGGTCAGCTATGGCACGCGTCTTCGGATAGGGAAAACATCCGCGCAATATGAAGGGATGGGAGAAAGAAAGAGAGAAAGAGAGAGAGAGAGAGATAGAGAGAGAGAGAGAGAGAGAGAAACACATAATATGTCATATGTGGCGCGAGCGCGCCTAGCTTGCCTCTCTCTCTCTCTCTTTCTCCTCCCTCCTCCCTCCTCCCTCCTCTCTCCGCCCTCCTCCATCCTCCCTTCTTGCTCCTGCTCTCTCCTCCCTCTTTCCGCCTCTCTCCTCGCTCCTCCTCCTCGTCCTTCTCCTCCTTCTCCTCCTCCTCCTCCTCCTCCTCCGCCCCGTCGTCCTCCCCCTCCTCCTCCATTCCTTCTCCTCGCCAATAATTTTTCCCTGTCGCACCCCGAGGCCCGTTTTTAGGGCGGCCCGGGCGTTTCGCCTGGAAATTCCTCACCATTCATGACCCTCAAGCTTCAAAATTGGCAACAGTTTAGCAGATGGAGGGCAAATCGTTTTCAATATGTGGTTTTCGCTTTAGCGCCGCGCACTTGCGAGAGTTTCACGGATTGAGGGCGGGTCGTTTTCACAATGTAGTTCTCGCTTTAGCGCCGCACGCATTCGCTTGAACAAATTGTAAGAGCTTCACGGGTTGAGGGCTGGTGGTTTTCAAAATGTGGCTTTCGCCTCAGCGCCGCGAAGGTTCGTTTTCAGAAATTGCAAGAATTTTGCGGATTGAGGGCGGGTGGTTTTCAAAATGTGGCTCTCGCCTTAGCGTTGGGCGCGATCGTATTTAATAGTTGCACGGGTTTCACGGATTCCCGTGGTCAACGTACCAGAAACGGTGTTTTGGAACGATTCAGGATTATGAGGGTGCAACAAGTACGTTGGTTCGCGGTGTTGAAGTCCCAGGAATGGCGTTCTGGCACGATTCAGGATCGTCAAGATGCAGCAGTCAGGTTGCTCCGTGGCTCTGGAGTCCCGAAAACAATGTTTGGCATGCGTCAGGGTCTTCAAACCGTTGTCTTCCAACGAGGCAGTTGTCTTCAATTTGGGTTTACAGTGGTCCTCCTTCTTTTTCCTCCTCATCTCTCCTCCTGCTCTTCTCTCCCTCCTCCAAAGCGTTTGCAAGGTCTCATGCAAGTTGTACAGGTGGTGCCAGCAAGGCTGGCCGACTCGATTCAACCCTGAAGGCTGTCGTGACAGACGTCTTTTCTGGACCCTTTGCAAGCGAACTCTTCAATCCCATCGGGGAGAGAAACTTGCTTCCCAGCCGAGCCTTCCCGTTTTTGTTGGGTGCTACATTTTTAATATCGCACTTGGGGGCTGCTTCATCATCATCTTTCCTCTCTCCATCTCTCCCACCTCCTCCCTCCTCCCTCCCCGTCGTGTCTCCCTTCCTTCTCCCCCCTCCTCCTCCTCCTCCTCCTCCTCCCTTCTCCCCAGCCTCCTCCGCCTCCTCCTTCTCCTCCCTCCCCTTTCCTTCCCCCCCACCTCCCCCTCCCCTTCCCTTTCCCCTCCCCCTTCCCCTCCCCTCTCCCTCACCATCCCCCTTCCCCTCCCCCCCTCCTGCCCCTTCCCCTTCCCCTTCCCCTTCCCATTCCCCTTCCCCTTCCCCGTCCCCTTCCCCTTCCCCATCCCCTTCCCCTTCCCTCTCCTCCCTCCCTTCCCCGCCCTCCGGCGACCGGCCCGAGGTTCAGGGGCCTCGTGCCCTCCGGAGCCGATTCGGGCCCCCTGGGCCCAGGGCTCGGCGCGCTCCGCTGTCGGCCCCCCCGCGCGCGCGCGCAATGCGGCGCTCCGCCCCGGCCCGCATAGGTTCGGGGATCGAGGGTTCGGCGCTCCGCCACCGTCCCAGCGCTTTTCGCTGTTTTTGGGTCTCCCCGCGTCTCCTCGTCGCTCCTGCGCCCTCCCGGCGCCCCGCAGCGGCTCCGCTGGCCGCGGCACCTCGCCCAGCGGCCTCCAGCATTTCCACGTCGTCCTCCATGGTTCGAGGGTTGGGGGAGGAAGGCGAAGGGGGTGAGGTGAGGGGCGGGTGAGGAGAGAGTGCCCAGCCGGGCAACGGCTGCGCGCGACTCGAGTTCCTCCTCCACCTATCCCTTATTTGCATCGTCAGGGCGTTCTTCTTTGGACCCTACCCTGCGGCTTCTGGCTTCTGCTGTCCCTCCATCCACTCGCAGGTCCCCCCCCCATACACACATCCTCTGTGGCGCTGCCCCAACCTCTGTCTACCCTGTCGACCGTATGCGCTCCCACCTCGCGCACGCCTGGAGTGCCCCTCCGCCGCTCTCTCCCCCCACTGCGCCCCCTCGTAGAGTTCTGGTATCGGCAGGGGCATGGGCAAAACGTCGTTCCTTTCCAGGCATTATTTGGACATGCGGCCGCATTTAGTTTTCCTCTTCCTTCCTCGCTTCCTCCATCCATCCTTCTCCGCTTCGGCCTGGACGATCATGATGGAGTCCCCTTCCCATTAGTTGTGAAGTTGGTCGTCTTCATCGTCGGGAGTCTCCCCTGAGGAAAAGACAAGACGTCTATCGCCTATCGAGGGAGGGTTCGGTAGCAAATCATTGGAGCCTTGCATGTCCTCGAAATTCCATTTTCAGAGTGCACTTGCGTGCGCTGGTGTGCGGTAGTCGATGAGAGAGCGCTGATTTCGCGTCGATTAGCGTGGATTTCGGATCGATTTAGCGTCGGTCAGCGTCGATCATCGTCGATCAGCGTCGGTCCGCGTCGGTCAGCGTCGGTCAGCGCCGACTCGCAAGAGCCAGCAAGATGGCATGGGAGGCTCACGCGAGTTGCCTCCGAAGGAGGGAGGGAGGTACCCTGGGGAGCCGGCCCTGGCAGCGGCCCGTTTGCATCGCCGGCCCGGCAGCGGCGGCCCCACCCAAGGCGCGGAGTTCTGGGTCGGCGTGCTCACCGGCGCTGTCCCGGCCCGCCACCTCAGCTCGGCGCGCAGGGAGCCTTCGGGCGGACTGTTTGCGTTCGACCCCGTCGTTTCCCCTCTGCTTCGGCCTCCTGGGGTCGTCTTCGGGCCCGGGGCCATCGGCAGTGGATCCGAGACGAGAGGCTGCCCCCAGGGAAGAAGAGGGTGGGACCTCTCGGGCCCGCGGATGGAGAAAGTCAGTCCGTCAGAGGTCTGGGCCAGGGCTCCACCGCCAGACTTCTGGGCGTCGTGGGAAGCCAGGGGCGTTCATCGGTCCAGCATGCGTGGACGTGGCAAGTCAGTATGCGGACGTGGTGAAGAGCTCTTGCCGTAATCGTTTTTTCACGACAACGTGTTTTTTGGTTGGCGTGTCACGGCGCCGGAGGTTGGGGGCTACGTGCCCTGGTCCCGCGGCGCCCGCAGGGCTCATGCCGCGTCGTCGAGCCGTGTAATGTAGGCTTGCGGATTTTCGAGCGGCCACGGTGGCGGTTTTTTTCTCTGCGATGCTCGGTGCTACACAGTTTCGGGGTGAGTTCGACGGAGGTGCAACAGTGGTAGGACTGAGGATGAGGACCAATGTCAACCCAAGACTCATCAACGATGTTGGAATACACCCTCCCTCCAAGTTCCCTCTTCATTGGCCTTTACATGGGTTCATTTCCATTGAGGGCAGTGCCCTGTTGGGGGACAACCGTGTGAAACTCCTGAAGCGTGCCAAAATACTGTGCTTAGGACTTTCACGCCACGAGTCAACCTGGATATTGCGTCTTGACGATCCTGAGTCGTGCCAGAATGCCATTCCTGGAACTACACCGTAAGTAAACGTAACTGTTTCTCCCTGACAATCCTGAATCGTTCCGATACACCGTTTCTGGTACACGAACCATGGTAACCTGTGAAACTCTGATAATTTCCTTAAAATGAATGTGCGCGGCGCTAGGCGAGAGCCACCACATGTTGGAAAGGAACCGCCCTCAATCCGTGAAACCATTTGCAAACTTTGAGACGAATGTGTGCATCGCTATAGCGAGATCCACATTTTGAAAACGGCCCATCCTCAATCCGTGAAACTCTTCCAATTGTTCGAAACGAATGTGCGCGGCGCTTAGGCGAGAGCCACATTTTCAAAGCGACCCGCCCTGAATCTGGGAAGCTTGAAACGGATTTGCACGGCGCTAAGGCGAGAGCCACATTTTGAAAACGCCCCGCCCTCAATCCGTGAAAGCCACATTTTTTGAAACGACTGTGCGCGGGATTCACATTTTGGAAGCGACCCGTCCTCCATTTGTGAAACTGTTGCCTATTTTGAAACTTCAGGCGCATAAGTGGTAAGGAAGTCTCACGCGAAACGTCTGGCCCGCCCTTCCGACTGGCATAGGGGTGCGACAGGGGAGTTATTGATCAGGAACAAGTGAGGAGGAGGAGGAGGAGGAGGAGGAGGAGGAGGAGGAGGAGGAGGAGGAGGAGGAGGAGGAGGAGGAGGAGGAGGAGGAGGAGGAGGAGGAGGAGTAGGCGGAGGAGGACGAGGAGGGCACCTAGAGGCAATAGCGCCCCAGACATCCCGACGCATGGCATACCTCTGAGGCGAGCAGGTGCATCGGGGCAGCCCCCTGCTGCTGCTGCTGCCTCTCCCTCCGCCCATCTCCTCCCTCCTCCCTCCTCCCCCATCCTTGAAGAAGGATCCCAGATCGAGGATCGAGGTGTTTGGGTGTTTCTGGGCCTTTCTAGGCCGTCTCCCTGGGCTCTGCAGCATCCCACTCGCCTCCAAGGGCAGCCCCCCTGGGCCGCCTCCCCTTAGTCTCCCAGGGCAGCACCCCTGGGCCGCGGAACCTTTTATTATATCTGTTCGTCGTCGTTCGTCCGTTCCCCGGGCATGGCCTGAGTCTTTCCCTGGCGCCCCCCTGGCCGCCCCCCCTGGCCTGGCTTCCATTGGCCCTGCGCCGCCCCATCGGGCCTCCCCTTCCAGGGCAGGGCAGCCTCTCGGGGCCTCGGAATCTGTTATTTTCGCAGTTCGTCGTCGTTCGTCCTCCTCTCCTGGGCCTCGCCCTGATCTCCCCCTGGCATGGCCTCGGCCACCCACTGGCGTTCCCCTGGCGTACCCCTGGCGTTCCCCAGGCGTTCCCCTGGCCCCCCCCTGGCCTGGCTTCGCTGGGCTCAGCGCCGCCCCACCTGACCTCCCCTTAGCCTCTCAAGGCAGTCCTCCTAGGCCGCGGAACCCTTCTCTTGCACAGCAGTGTTCTAGAGCTCGGTCGGAGCTTTTTATGTTCGTCATCTTTTGTTCGTTCGCTCGTGCCACCCCCCCTCGGGAGGAGCACGACCGATCGCAACCACTTCGGACCGATCGTCGACCACTTCGGACCGATCGCAACCAGTTGCGATCGGTCCGAAGTGGTCGCGACGTTTTGCGGGGCGCTTCAAGAAGGTTTCGATTAAGGGAGATATTACAAGAGCGCTTTTGGATGCAGTGAGCTCCCTTAATCTTACCGATTGAAATCTCAGAAAGCGGTTGCGATTTGTCAGATCGCCGACCGTTCGCCATCATCGTCATCGTCATCGTCATCGTCATCGTCATCGTCATCGTCGTCATCATCATCATCATCCTTATCATTATCATCATTATTATCATTATCATCACCATCATCATCACCATCGTAATCACCATCATCATCAGCCTCACCCTCATGCTCTATCCTCCCTCTGCTTTTTCTCCTCTGCCTCCTCATCCTTATTGCCCCTCATTTTTTAAACCTTTCCTCCCCCTCCTCCTTCATCATCATCTCCTTCCTCCCGTCCTGCCCCGTTTCGCCCCCCTTACCCCCATCGTCATCAACACCGTCCTTCGCACCACCACCACCATCATGATCATCACCATCGTCATCATCATCATCATCATCATCATCATCATCATCATCATCATCATCATCATCATCATCATCACCATCATCATCATCATCATCATCATCATCATCATCATCATCATCATCATTATCATCATCATCGTCATCATCATCATCATCATCATCATCATCATCATCATCATCATCATAGTCATCATCATAGTCATCATCATCATCATCATCATCATCATCATCAACATCGCCACCATCATCATCACCATCATCACCATCATCATTATCACCAGCATCACCATCATCATCATCACCATCATCATCACCGTCATCATCATCACCATCATCATCACCATCATCATAAGCATCATCATCAGCATCATCGTCGTCATCATCATCGTCATCATCATCGTCATCATCAGCCTCATCATCATCAGCATCATCATCATCATCATCATCATCATCCGTAGCATTCAGACAAATTGTTCAGTGTGCGTTGCCATCGATGGGAGTTCGCTGTCGTGTTCGCGGTTATTGCTGTCTCGGGTATCGGTACGGCAGAGAGGGTTTTTCCTGCCGATGCACGTCTTTCATGCTCAAGGGCGACTTTCAGTTTACCTTCTAAAACGTATCAGCCTACAGGGAAGGCGTTGCCATCTCCGGGGTTTGTCAGTGTCTCAGGCGCCCCACCCGCCCGATCGGAACGTAAACAGTGGGTTGGGCAACTAAGGGTTATCAGGGAAGGAAGATTAACAAGGGATGGCTGGCGACCCGTGTTTAGAAAAGGCAGCGTCCAGTTTTTTGCGGGGGCATCCCAGAACCTCCCAGGACCTCTGGGGACTTCAGGGACTTTCTGACACTTTGTCTTTCCTCCCTCGCCCCTCCCTGCTGCCCCACCTGTGCAGCCTCCCAGCTAGCAAACTTTATGCCCTTAACGAGGAGGTCCTCGCCTCTCAGCGGAGTCTCAGGGGGTCGGAGCTCGCTAGGCAATAGGACATACCAGGTCCTTCCTTTGCTTTGTGTTTTCTTTGCCCCATCCTGATTTTGATCCCTGGCCCTCGTCGCTTCATCTCCAAATTTTTCTTATGGTCTACGCTTCCTGCTCGTCTTCTCCGAACTGCGATATGCAAGTTTCAATCGTGGTGGGAGCCGTTCTTGCCGCACCCCCTGAAGTCAAGCGTGTTCGGCCGACAGCGTGCGTGTCTTAAAGGCTCCGCGTGCGATGCAAAGAACAGGACGTACCTCTCCCCAGAGGGAACCCGCAGGTGCGCAAAGGTGACCGCGCTTCGCGCCGCCTGGCCGTGCAGTCCTTCTACTGGGGTGGCGCGTGAGCGCGAAGGCAACGCTTCGCGCTCACGCGCCAATCGTCGTGCTTCGCGCTGGCGCGAAGCGCGACGTCGGACGATCCATACGCTGCACCCCCAGCGGACGTCCCCACGGGGAGCTGTCTCGTGCCCCTGGCCTCGGCCAGTGGAGCCCGAGGTCGTCTGGCTCGGCTGGGTGGTGCAGTCGCAGAACCTCCAGCTCTGGGCGAAGGCGCCCGGGCTGCGGCTCCAGGAGAAACCGCCGCGTGGTCTCGCTTCTCCTTATTGCTTGCCCTGGGCTGCCAGCCCCCCCCCCGCTCTCCCACCCCTCGGCCTCAGGGCCTGCCGGGCCACGCAGCCGTCGAGGCGTCGCGCACGAGGTCGTACCATGTGCCCTGTATTCCGACCGACGGACCGACTGCCCCCCCATCCAGGCCAGCATCCCTCACCATGCTTGGTTGGCTCGCGCCCGTAATTTCAGGATTCTTGGCACGGGCGCTCCTGGTCAATTCATCTGGATGCTGTCTTCTTCCTTCCGTCTTGGTGCACGTCGTGAAAGAAACACAACGTCGGAGATCTGGGTTCAGCATGGGGGAGCGTGTCTAGGCCATTCCAGCGAGGCGGTGGTGCGGAGCAAGGCGGGGCAGCGAGTCCACCTGAGAGAGCGGCACAGGAGGAGCAAGCGGCAGAGGAGCAGGCGGCAGTGAGTTTTCACTGTCGATCGCCGCAGCAGGGGGTGAAATTCTCCCCCCCCCTCCTCGTGCTGCTGCTGGTCCTCCTTCTGGATCCCTGGAGCCCTTGGGGACCTTCTTTTTCTCTCATTCTGCTTTATTTCCTCCTCCTTCTCTCCTTCTTCCCCACTCCTCCTTATCCTCCCTCCCGCTTGCTTGCAAATAGTTTCTCGTCGCGCCACCAGACGTGTTGGCAGGAGGGCGGGCTGGGCGTTCCGTGTGAGACTTCTTTGCAACTTATGTCCCTGAGCATCTGTGTCTCCAACAAATTCACGGATGGTGAGCGGGCCGCTTTGAAAAATGTGGCCCTCGCTTTACCGCCCCGCACATGCGTTCGTGAAAGCTTGCGGCAGTTGCGCGGATGGAGGACGGGCCGTTTTCAGAATGTGGTTCTCGCCCTGGTGCGCGCATTCGTATCTACTGCATATAGCCAGCACCGTGGGGGTGGGGGTGGGTCGGGATCGTTCCCGCAGTTCGTGTCAAACATTCATCACAGTTGCACGGATGGAAGGCATTCCTTTGTCAGAATGGAAGGGGTTCTCGTTTGAGATTCCCTCGCATTCAAGGTGAAATTTGGTGTGGAAGTGCGAAGCGACTGCACGGATGTAGGGCGTGTTTTTCTGTTGTTGTTTTTTTGTTTGTCGTTTTTTGTTATTTCCTTTTTTGTCAAAGAGGAGCTCTCGCTTGCCACTCTTTCGGACGCCTCGGCCTTGCATTGTACATTCACTGGTGATACAGGCGTGAAAGCAGGCTCATCTTCAATACGGGGCTATCGCCTGAATGACAGGCGGGGCGCCCGTCTTTCGAGCGGGCACTTTCCGCAAAGAGGAGGAACGCTTGTAGCGTCGTGCGAGGCGGGGTCTTGGGACGGGAGGGTCTGCTGCAGAATCATTATGTACCACCCCGCAGTTGCAGAAAAGAATGAGGGGGCGGGCGCGGGGTGGGTCGCGGGTGGGTCGTGGGCGGGTCGCGGGTGGGTCGCGGGTGGGTCGCGGGCGGGTCGCAGCTTGGTCGCGGATGGGTCGCGGGTGGGTCGTGGGTAGGTCGCGGGTGGGTCGCGGGCGGGTCGCGGATGGGTTGCAGGTGGGTCGCGGGTAGGACGACGAAAATAACAACAACAAACAGCATCAAACAACACCGCAACTCTAATCATCACCGCGGAACCCCACTTCAGCCACGCACCCAGAGACAGTGAATGACCGTTCGGCCCCCTCTGACTTCGGCGTCACCCCAACATACTAATGTTATTGGTGCGTCGCCCCCCCAGGGGCGACGCGCGCACCGAGAAATCTTGCAGTATGTGCGTCTTGTCGGGCGCTTTCTGACCACACCGCTCGGGAAACGATCTACTACAAGGGGGGTATACTATACGTTCGGGTCGGACGCGCGCCTCCAAGGAGGACATATAGTACTAGTATGCCTGTGTGCGTGCCATGGCGGTATCCTGGGCTTACTATGGTTCTCCTCCTGTTCATAGCGACCCGTGAGCCCCCGGCCGCTTCTGCCGGGAGCCTGGGAGGGAAGCAGCTGCGGTCGTGCGTGCTGCATGCTGCTGCCTTCACGTGCCAGACGCTTTGGAACTCAATCGACATCCAGGCCCCTCCCCCACCTCAAGCCAGTGTCTGGAGGCCGAAAATGGATGGCGAACACGTGCAGTCGTTGTTTATTGTGAGGCGTCGGATGTTTCGCTTTTCGGCCTCGAAGTCGACCCCAGACCTGTCATGGGATGTCCTTCTGCCAAACATTTGAGGCGGAACTAGCGGTGGCGACGAGGAGGCCCAAGGAAGGAAGGTCAAAATTCTTCACTCTTCGTGTATCCCCAGCAGCCCTGCGAGCGTCCCTGGACCTGACGCTCGCAGCATCAGCTGCAGCCGCAGCCCGACTTGCAGGCTGTGCTCCCTCTCGGGGACCACCCCCTGCCCAGCCCCCGTCGCTCCGTCCCTCCGGGAACGGGCCCTGGGTCTGCTGATTGTGGTGATTCGTGGGACACTACGTGGCTGTGGCCCACTTGTCTCTCCTTCGTTTCACCCCTGGCGTGCCACTGCATTCCCACGGCGGCCGCTTGCCGTGCAGGCTGAGCTCCGTCCCTGGCGCCTCTCCTGCCCAGCCCCCACCGCTCCCCGTCCTTGGGGCTTGAGCTGTGGGTCTCGCTGGCAATACTGACTTGTGGGCGGCTGCTGGGGCAGCAGTCCTCCGGTCCAATACCGGCCTTCGGCCTGCCGTAGCTGTTTTCACCCCTGGGGCGCGTGTCCGCGCATCAGGCGGCCCTCAGGGTCGGGGCGCTCCCCCCCCTGCGGTGCCTGGCTCCGGCCCCCTGCTTGGTGGCGGCGGTTTCGTCCCCGCTCGCCCTCTTT